CGCGCGCGCGCGCTCCTCAGATTTTGACCGAGTTTCTAGAAAAAGAACGTGGAGTTGTAGAGTCCAGGGTTTTGAGGGAGTCAAGTTTATACGGTTGAGGGAACACAGTTCAGCTCAGGGCTTCAGAAACCTTTTTTCTAAGGGCCTACATGGTTTTGACACCGGGCTTTAGGCTGAACGCTCAGGGATTAGACGGGTTCGGGCCTGAGGGTAGTTTAGCGTGAAGGCGTTGGCCAGCATCTTCTTTGTTTTTCCTCGAAACACGGATGTATTTTGGGTCCCACGCAAGTGTTTCCTATTGCCTTATATTTATTTCCTGAACGTGCTTACCCACTGTATTGAACTGCTCTTTGCCAAAGAATTTCTTGAGGCTACACGCAAACCCACAAAGACTGAGCAGAAAATCCTTAAGCCCCGCCCTCGCCTGAACCCTGAACCCTAAACCCTAAACCCAAAGCCTAAACCCTAACCCCCAACCCTAAGCACTAAAGCCTAACTAACCTCTAAACCCCAAATCCTGACCCCCCAAGCCAGAAGCTGGCTGCCTGGCTTGGCAGCAGAGTTGTTCATCGCCTCACCAGCCTCGGCAAGGCGGGGTCGGACGCTGGGGATATGTCGCAGGTTTCTGCTCTGATTCCTAATCACTCTAAGCTAGTCCTCGCTGAGTAGAGACCGTGATTCAGTTTCAGAGTAACATGCCGCTGCGCTGCCTGCCTAGTGCTCTCAGTGAAGTTCACACCCTTTGTCATGCTGGGCTCGTGGCTGCTCAAAACCAATTGACGGCTGACCTGGCCAACACGAAAGGGGCAAGTCTGGGTTTGGGCTATGGCTATATCGGTCATATGTTTACTTGCAGACTGGCGCTCCCACTAAAGCAACAACAGGATGCGCAATGTATTTTGCAAAAGATGTTTCTGGCGGGCTTTGAGAATTGGAATGCAATCCTTTTTCTGCAACCCCAGCAGCGTCAAGAGATATGGGATTCAATGGGAACTGCTACTCGGAATCTGTCAACTCAGTGACACTTCCAATAATCGCTTGAGCCCCCAGCTGAACAGTTTCCTCAACTCTCGGGGAAGACCTGTGTGTAGGCCTAGGCAAATTTTTCAAAGCCCCCTCTATCTCGCTCTGGCTGAGATGGGACAGCCTGGCAAGGAAAACTAAGGCGGACCAAAGTGTGGCCATGTAACAGGAGATTTCAAATGAGTTGCCAGCTAGGTCCTTCAGCAATCGGTCACTCATACTGGAGATGCGAGGGTCATTCTCAGAAAGATAGAGCCCCTGCAAGCGAAGGGCCTCTAGTCCCAGCAAAGGTCTCACGCGTGTAGTGATGTAATGCTGCCCGCGCGGAGTGACACAGGGCACATATGAGCGAATTTGCGCCCACTTTTCGCTCTGAGACACATCCAAGCACCGGGTCTCTTTCTCGGGGAAGTTGCTTACACCTGCCTTTCGAAGCACATGGACCTGGCGCTGGGTGAGGCCAGCAAGGAAGACATGGCGAGTTGCTGCTTCTTCGAAGTTCTGCTTCCATGCGTCCTTTCTCTTTCTCTTCCTGCTGGAACCCACGGACGCAGCTGCCTTGCGTTGGGCGGCCTCTAGAAAACTCTGCTCCCAGCTTGAGCCCTTAGACACGAGGTACTCGTCTAGGGAAGACATTCTGATGCCTGTGAGACCGTCCATGATATTGTCGAGCATGTGGTGCGCGCCTTGCTCTGTCAGGCCATCCGGCAAGACTTTTAAGTTGAAAGCCAACATCCAAATCCTTGCCCGCGATTCCGGCACTCCAAACATCCTGGGACAAAGCTTCCATGCATGGAGCAGGAAGTTGCACTTCTCCCGTAGCAGCAGCGCCAAAGCCTCCAAACCGCTACCAGACCCATCCCGGGGTCTGTGGGCCAGTGGGCCAACATTCTCGAGAATCAGGATGTCGGGCAAGTCTTCTGGCTTAAGGCCGGAAATGTAGTCTACAATGGCCATGGCCACAGACCCAGTTCGCAGCGTGCCATTCTGCACGCACTTGCGATTGCTATCTGTTGCGTGATGGATGTTCAGAGAACTGGCATCCTGACAGGGGAAGCCTGCAGCTACAATTCGCGAAGGAGGCACAGGCACCATTTTGTTCCTGTGGAGGCAAGTTGCTGCCCCTGACTTCATATCAAAGGCGTCGGCAAAGAGATGGCAATCTCGACCATGCAGCGCAGTGAGGAATTCCCTCTTCTCCTCCTCTTTCTCGCACGCATAAGCATGCACAAAGTGGAGGCTGCCGGTGTCAAGAAAACCTCGCGCCCACCGTACAAAGGCATCCGTGGCCCAAGCCGAAATGTCTGTGCCACTGCAGATGCTGCCAAAGCGCATATCGGGCCTCAACTCCAGAAAGCTCTGCAGCCTCCTGAGATCAGCTGCTGGCGCATCTTTAGCCCAGGTGTCCAGGACACGCTCCACTCTTTGTGGGCCCGGAGGACAGGCCGGGCGCTCCACGCGTGTGCTCGGCGCGCGTGCGCAAATGCCTCGAGGAAGTAGCGGCATGCTACAGCACAGGTCCACTTGGAGCCCAAAACTCGAGACTGCCAGGGTGAACATTCAGGGATGCTACATCAACTATAATCTAGCATGATTGGGTCTATTGTGCCTGTTTTGGCATGCGTGGCAACGCAACCCCTGCTAGCACAACAAACTCAACAAGCCAGAAACGCCTCAGCGATCCTGCTCGTCCGGCGCAGGCAGAAGCAGAGGCTCGTGGTCTGCATCTTCAGGCACGTCTGCTGGCTCGCCTGCGGGCTGTGCAAAACAAGCAGAGGGTTGAGGAGTTAGTTGAGGCAACTAAGAACATAGCAGGGGATTTTATTCCAAGGCCTTCAGAGGCGAGGGCATTGGTTAAAGATCTGCCCATGCCATTCCAAAGATTCGTAGCAATTCTGAATGCATCCTGCCAGCTGTTGCCCTGTCGCTTGAGCTCCCTGGCAAGTTTGGCTTTGAACACCACACGTGGAGTAGCAGCAGGAATCGCTCCTCGAGCTAGACCCTGGTTGACCACCCTGACCTCCACAGCCTCTGGTTGCACAGACATTGCCCGAGATCCCAAGCCCTGACCCTGGCTAGACGCAGATCTTGCCGCATTCCCCGGCGATAGCAGGAAGGAGGTATCTAGAGGCGGGCTTTGCTGCAAGGTACCCGCGTTCCATTGACGCAGATAGGACGCTGCTCGATGCATGTTAAAGGGGTGCTCCTCCACAGCAGTTGCT